AACCACTCCTCCATCTTTCCACGTTGGTTCACTTTAAATTCCCAAACAACAGCAATAAAAATAATAATAAAGAAAATTGAGGAAATTTACCATGCCATAGTTTACCTGCTGGAGAGCACTTGGTGACTGGGCAGTGTTATAAAAATTTGTCTGACCAGGCTGTTGTACTTGTCCAGAATAAAGATTTGAAGCCTGGGTAAGATTTGCTCTAGCCTAGAAAAAATTTTGTAAGAAAACATGAGTAAGACTGAAAAACATTTCAAATTCAGAGATGGAGATTATGACTTCACATGTCTAGCAATTTTTAGTATTAGATAAAATGAAAGGACTTCATTTTATCATTGGGTCTTTTAACATGTTTTCTTTTAAAATGTTTCCTTAAAATGATCTGTGGCATAGGAATACAATGATTGTGCATTGCTCTAGTCCCGACTTACCTGGAGAAGATGTGTGTCAATCAGCTGGGAACCTCCTAGTCCTGAGGCCTGCCCCAGTTGATGTTCATACAATATAGGAATAGGCTGAGTATTTGATGTTTGCTGAAAGGCAAGACCGGATTGTGCCTTGGCAAGTTCCTGGTGTTGGACAGTTGGAAAGTTGTGAATAGCAGTACCAGAAAGGACCACAGATGGCTGGGATAAACTGCTTTGCATAAAAGCTGGCTGAGATCTACATAAGGATTAAAGAGAAAATACTGTTAGAAGTTAATTTCATCTGGAATCTGAAAATCTTAAGAATGCAAATCCCAAATGAGCCTGTATTTCAGTCAACAAGAGACCACATAAATATGGATGGTCCCATAAGATTATAAGAGAAATGAAAAATTCCTATCACCTAGGGATATCATAGCTGTTCTAACATCAAAGAACAACATATGACTCCAGTGTTTTTGGTGGTGCTAGTATTAAACAACCTACTGCAATGACAGTCATATAGCAGTCCAGCACATACAATTATATACAGTACATAGTATTTGATATTGATTAAAAGGATGTTACTGGTTTATGTATTTACTATACATTTTATTGTTATTTTAGAGTGTACTCTTTCTACTTAAAACAAAAAACTACAAAACAGCCCCAGGCAGATCCTTTAGCAGGTATTCCAGAAGAAGATATTGTTATCATAGGACATGACAGCTCCATATGTGTTACTGCCCCTGAAGACCTCCTGGTGGGACAGGATCCGGAGGTGGATGAGAGGATACTGATGATTCTAGCCCTGTGTAGGCCTAGCCTAATGTATGTGTTTGTATCTTAGTTTTTAACAAAAAAGTTTAAAAAGTTAAAAACAAAAATTAAAAAACAAAAAAATGTAGGCCAGGCGCTGTGGCTCATGCCTGTAATCCCAGCATGTTGGGAGGCCGAGGTGGGCAGATCACAAGGTCAGGAGTTTGAGAACAGTCTGACCAACATAGTGAAACCCCATCTCTACTAAAAATACAAAAAAATTAGCCAGGTGTGGGTGGTGTGCGCCTGTAATCCCAGCTACTCGGTAGGCTGAGGCAGGAGAATCACATGAACCTGGGAGGCGGAGGTTGCAGTAAGCCATAATCGTGTCACTGTACTCCAGCCCGGAGACAGTGGGAGACTCCATCTTTAAAACAAAGAAACAAACAAACAAAACCCCAGAAGAATGTTAACAGAAAGAAAAGGCCAGACATGGTGGTTCATGCTCATAATCCCAGCATTTTGGGAGGTGAAAGGAGTGCTTGAGGTCAGGAGTTGGAGACTGGCCCAGGCAAGAGAACAAGATCCCATCTCTACCAAAAAAATGAAAAAATTAGCTGGGCATGGTAGCAAGTGCCTGCAGACCGAGCTACTTAAGAAGCTGAGGATGGACAATGGCTTGAGCTCAGGATTTCGAGGTAGTGAGTTGTGTGTGCCACTGTACTCCAGCCTGGGTGACAGAGACAGAAAGAAAAAGAAAGGAAGGAAGAAAGGGAGGAAGGGAGGGAAGGAAGAAAGGGAGGAAGGGAGGGAAGGAAAGAAGGAAAGGAGGAAAGGAGGAAGGGAGGAACAGAGGGAGGGAGGGAGGAAGGGAAGGAGGGAAAGAAGGTAGGAAGGTAGGTAGGTAGGGAGGGAGGGAGGGATGGAGAGAGGGAGAGAGGGAGGGAGTTTCTGTGCAGCTGTACAATTTGTGTTGTAAGCTAAATGTTATTACAAGAGTCAAAAAGTTACAGTAAGTTGAGGTTAATCTATTATTGAAGAAAAATTTGTCTTTACAAATTTAGTGTACTCATAGTGTACAGTGTATACAGAGTCCACAGTAGTGTACAATAATCCCCTAGGCCCTCACAATCACTCACCACTCACTCACTGACTCACCTAGAGCAACTTCCAATCCTGCAAGCTCCATTCCTGGGAGGCGCTCCATAAATGGTAAGCACCATTTTTAATCTTATATGCTGTATTTTTACTGTACCTTTTCTATGTTTATTTAGATTTCTATAGTTAGATACAAACATTTACCACTGTGTTACAAGTGCCTACAGTATTACGCACATTAAATGCTGCACAGGTTTATAGCCTACTAGATGCAGTAGGATGTACTCTACAGCCTAGGTGTGTAGTAGCAGGCTATACCACCTAGATTCCTGTAAGTACACTCTATGTTTATATAAGAACAGATATATCAGAATGTCTCCCCATCACTGATACCTGGCTGCACTCTAGCTCAGAAGTCAAGAAAAGAGGAAGAGAATACACACTGTGTCTAAAGCAACTTGTTTCAAGATGGAGCATCTTGTATACAAGGAAGCTTCACATGTCAAAGTTCTGCAAAAAAGGCCTGTTCTCCGTGAGAAGCGCATTGTTTTTTCCTTTTGAACAGTGAGAATAATTCTTTTTGTGTTCACTACAAAGTTCAGAACCCAATCTCTTTTTCTCTTTGGCAACATTCTAATTTATAGCACCAATAGCCCCAACTTTTTTTTTACTTGTATTTCATTACTTCCCCACATATATTTTTCATATAAATGGCCTAGCCTCAAGATCTCTATGGAATAAAGCATAATAGTAGCTCACATCAGAATTACCCACAAAGATCAAGCAAACAAAGAAATAAGAACATAAACCAAAACCAAACCAAGCCAAAATATATCCCCCAAACCAAAACCATAATGCCAGAATCTAACTCAGACCTCCCTATCATCTCTGAGAGGGATGCCTCCAGTCTATACTTTTAAGATGCAGAGATAAATAACTAAATCAAAAGTAGTAGGTTAAAGATAACATTATGCTTTGTTGCTTTCTTAAAACTGGCCTATGTGGCAGGAACAAAAGCCACTAAGAATGCTAGTCCAGGATCTTAACAATCTTTACAACACCTACTTATAACTTATGTTCCAAGCACAAGGTGAGAAAACATGAATATATTGCTATAAACTATCCTGTCTTCATAGTAACCAATTCAGAAATTCCCGAATAAACACCATGCTGATCAGGTTAAGGAACAAGCAAGGAATGCTTAGGGGTAAAATAACTGCTTTCAAAATCTAAACCTGCACCTTCCAATGTGCTAGCCACTAGCCACAATTACATATATGTCTTACGTTACATTTCTATTGAGCAAGTCTGGTCTTGGATAATCCCACATTCAATACAAGACTTCCTTCAGCTTCAAAAAAAAAAAAAAAAAAAGACTTCCTTCGGCTTCTAGTTGGGCAAATAGTTTTACTTCTAATGGGAGAAAATAATGAAACAAATGACAGAGTAAGACAGGGAGGGAAGACCTACAACAGCTATAGAGGTAATGATACAGATGTATTACATTTTACTACAGAATCTTTAATTATGCTGGGCTCAGTGGCTCACGCCTATAATCCCAGCACTTTGGGAGGCCAAGGTGGGCAGATCACCTGAGGTCAGGAATTCGAGACCAGCCTGACCAACATGGAGAAACCCTATCTCTACTAAAAATACAAAAATTGCCAGACATGGTGGCGCATGCCTGAAATCCCAGCTACTTGGGAGGCTGAGGCAGGAGAATCACTTGAACCCGGCGGCAGAGGTTGCGGTGAGCAGAGATCACGCCATTACACTCCAGCCTGGGCAATAAGAGTGAAACTCTGTCTCAAAAAAAGAATCTTTAATCAAAAGGTAAAAATTTTCATTTTTATTTTTATTTTCATTTTTATTCATATTTTATTACCACATTTATGAGGTATACTAATGACTCAGCTCTCTGTTAAGAGTTTCATTAGGGCCGGGCGCGGTGGCTCAAGCCTGTAATCCTAGCACTTTGGGAGGCCGAGATGGGTGGATCACGAGGTCAAGAGATCAAGACCATCCTGGTCAACATGGTGAAACCCCGTCTCTACTAAAAATACAAAAAATTAGCTGGGCATGGTGGC